GATAGCATTTTCCATCACGAGACCTTTGGAGATGTCTTAGATCTTTATGTTTCTGAGAAGGGTTAAGTCTATCAACATTAGTCATCATACAACGTGGCTGTTGCTGTGTACAGTGTTCTCCTGGTTCTGCTCACTTCACACAGCATCAATCCATGCAAGTCTTTCCAAGTTTTTCTGAAGTCCACTTGCTCATCACTTCTTATAGCACAATAGTATTCCATTACATTCATATACCACAACTTGTTCAGCCATTCCCCAATTGATGAGCATCCCCTCAATTTCCAATTCTTGGCCACCACAGAAAGAGCTGCTATAAATATTTTTGTATGTGTGGGTCCTACTCCCATATCTCTTTGGGATATGTCCCTAGAAGTGCTATTGCTGGGTCAAAGGGTATGCACATTTTTTTAGCCCTTTAGGCATATTTCCAAATTGCTCTCCAAAATGGTTCGATCATTTCACAGCTCCACCAACAATGCATTAGTGTTCCAATTTTCCCACATCTTCTCCAACATTTTTCATTGTCCTGTTTTGTCATGTTAGCCAATCTGATAGGTGTGATGTGGTACGTCAGAGTCATTTTGATTTGCATTTCTTTAATCAATAGCGATTTAGAGCATTTTTTCATATGACTCTAGATAGCTTTAATTTCTTCCTCTGAAAACTGCCTGTTCATATCCTTTGACCGTTTATCATTGGGGAATGACTTGTATTCTTACAAATTTGACTTAATTCTCTATATATCTTAGAATTGAGGCCCTTATCAGAGACACTGGTTGTAAAAATTCTTTCCCAGTTTTCTACTTCCCTCCTAATCTTGGTTGCATTGGCTTTGTTTGTGCAAAAGCTTTTCAATTTAATGTAATTGAAATGATCTGTTTTGCATTTCATAATGTTCTCTATCTCCTGTTTGGTCATGAATTCTTCTGTTCTCCATAAATCTCACAGGTAAACTATTCTTTGCTCTCCCAGTTTGCTTATAGTATCAGCCTTTATATCTAAATCATGAACCCATTTTTACTTTATCTTGGTATAGGGTGTGAGATTTTGGTGTATGGCTAGTTTCTATTGTACTCTTTTCCAGTTTTCCCAGCAGTTATTGTCAAATAGTGAGTTCTTATCTCAGAAACTGGGGTTTTGGGGTTTATCAAATAGTAGATTACTATGGTCATTGACTGTTGTGTCTTGCATACCTAACCTATTCCACTGATCCACTACTCTATTTCTTAGCCAGTACCGAGTAGTTTTGATGGTTGCTGCTTTATAATATAATTTAAGATCTGGGACGGCTAGGCCGCCTTCCCCTGTATTTATTTTCGTCAGTTCCCGTGATATTCTGGACCTTTTGTTCTTCCAAATGAATCTTGTTATTATTTTTTCTGGCTCTGTAAAATAATTTTTTGGTAGTTTGATTATTATGGCACTGAATAAGTAAATTAGCTTAGGTAGAATTGTCATTTTTTTTATATTAGCTTGGCCTACCCATCAAAGTGATTTTCTTAAAGCACAAGTCCAATTACATCACTCCTTTCCACCAATTCAATAAACTCCAGTCGCTCCCTGTCATCTCCAGCATCAAATAGAAAACCCTCTGCTTGGCATTCAAAGCCCTTCATCACTTGGCCCCTCCTACCCTTCCAATCTTCCTACACCTTACTCCCTGACACATACTTTTCTATCTGGTGGCTCTGCGATTCCATTCCAAATTATTCCATTTCTTGGCTCTAGACATTTTCTCTGACTGCTCCCCTGTGCCTAACCCTCCTCTCCACTTCCTGACCTCCTTGGCTTCCTTCAAGGCCAACTAAAATCCTATCTTCTATAGTAAGCCTTCCCCAGGCCCTCTTAATTCCCTTCCCTTCCCTTTATTAATTATTTCCTGTTTATTCTGTATATAGCTTGTTTGTGCATATTTATTTGTATGTTATCCATCTCCCCAGCCCCTTTAGATTGTAAGCTTCCTGAGGGCAGGGAGTGAATTGTGCCTCCTTTTGTATCCTTAGTGCTTAGCATAGGGCCAGGCACACAGTAGGTACTTACGCGTTTATTGACTGGTGGCTGACTGATTCAGCAGAATGTAAGCTTCCCAGTAGAATATAAGTTCTCTGAGGACAGGAATTGTCTTGCTTTTGTATTTGTATCCACAAGACCTAACATACAACAAGCACTTTAAAATATTTGTTGATTGAGTGGAAAGAGCTCTGGATTTGGAGTTAGAGGACTAGAGTTTGAATCTTACCTATTATGCTACCATTTATTACCTGTGTAGTAGAATGGTCTCTATCTATACATTTATCTATTTTTCTATCTGTCCATTCTTCTATCTATCTATCATCTATCTCTATCTCTCTATATCTTTATCATCTATCTGTCTATCTATCTATCTGTCTATCTGTCTGTCTGTCTCTGTCTAGCTATACATTCGTCTATCACCTATCTCTCTATACCTTTACCATCTATCTATACCTCTGTCTATACATCTATCCATCTGTCTATCATCTCTATCTATACATCTCTCATCTGTCTATACTTCTTTCTCTATCTATCATCTATCTACCTTTTTATAGTTTGGGGAGAGTTTTTATTTTAACATTTTATTACATAAATAGTTTAGTTTTTCATTCTTAATAGAGACTTTTTTAGACTTTTACATTTTTAAAATTTCTTGATACATTTTTGACACAATAGATATTCCCCCAACAAACCACTTTATGAAGTATATTCCCTGAAAACAGCTTGCTTATGACTTACTCATGGCAAGCACAGCCTCCATGCCTCTGAATCACAGAGTTCCTCCCTTTCTAGGAGTCACAATCACAGCATTTTCTCCACGAAGATGTTGCTGAACTCCCTTCCCCCTCCCTCCCTAAGTTCCTTGTAACTATGTTGCATTCATTTCTGTTTATTCTCTACATATATACATACATGTACACACAATACATAGATGCATCTACATATATGTATACACACACTGTATCATTTTAAATTGCTCCTTGTTTTCTCCTATTGGATAGTAGGCATTTCTAAGTAGTGGTTTCATTCTTTTCGTTTGCACTCCTGGCAGCTAGCACAGGATCTGGCCTGTAACAGGAACTTAGTAAATCATTTTTGATTGAAATTGATCAAAAAGAACAGTTCCTTATTTTAGGATAAAAAAGAAACTAATTCCTTAAAGGAGAAGGAACTCGTCCGAGGTCACATAGCTAGTAAGTAACAGAATCAGAACGTGAAGCCATGTTCTTAGATTCCAAGTAGAGGGATCTTTCCTCCGTGCTATGGAATGAAACTGATCTGCGTGACAATGACAAAAGAATGAACTAGGTTTACCAGACAAATGTGAAAAATGGATTTTTTAAAATGAGTTACTAGGGCTGGTCTAGATAGAGTTCCCAACCACTGAGGTACCTGGTGGGGGGTGGGGTGGGGAGAAGAACACCTAGATGAAGGAAAAGTGTCTTTTCTCCCAATCCCCTCCTGATTGTATGTACTTAGGAAATATTTCTTGACTTGATTTGACTTTGCCCTTGATTTGACCCCCTCCTTGGCCCTCAGCCTCACTTTGGAATTCCTGTAACTTTCATTTGAGGATGAGGGTGATGATGAGGATGATGACGATAATAAAAATAACGATGATGATGATGATACAAGAGCATTTTAAGATTTGCAAATCAATATCTCATTTTGTTCCCGGGGGGGGGGTGCTTTTGTTATCCCCATTTTACAGATAAGGAAATGGAGGCAAACAAGTGGTGACAAATTCCCTGAGGAAAGAAACAGGGTGTTCTGTGTGCTTCCCATACCACAGTAGTTAAATACTCTACATATTGTAGGGGCTTAATGCTACTTTAGTTATTTGTTTGATTTTAGCTACCTAGTAACAGAATTTCAGAATCTGAGTGAGGGTTGTCGTCCATTACCCAAACTACGTTGCCAGCAATTGCCAGAACATTTTTTCCCCTCAAACCTTTGATAAAGAGACCCAGGGAGGTTTGTTTTCCTAGCCCTGCAAGAACGTAGCCTACAAAAGGTGAAGAGCTTTGTATCCTAAACGGCCGAGGAAGAGGACCGGCCCTGGTTCTCATTTTGCCCCTGCTTTTCTGCCTCCCACATACACACAAGGATTCATCCGTCCCCCTCCCAGCTTGGCCCAGGTGCAAAAAATTGCTGGTTGAGGATATGCTTCCTCCATCTGAGCCCTGACTTGTCTGCTTGGAATATTAAACCTCCTCTCGTCTGCTTCTTGGGACCCCTAACGCACTTCAAGGCCCAGGTCAAGCGCCTTGCTAAGCAAAGTGCCAGAATTTCTCGGAGCTGTCAGTGTGTCCTCCCGCCCCGCCCACTACTATATATTTATTTTTTATATATTTTATTTTTACTCATTTGTGTATGAGTTGTTCTTTTCTCTTCTCCTATGTAAACTCTACAGGTTACATAACTGTATAGTCATTGTTCTTATAAGACTGCAATGTTCCATTACAAGGTGATCCAGGCGACTGATGGACTGATACCTTGGTCAGCACAAACAGGAATCGTGTTTAAGGTTGTTCCTTGGGTCTGACGTTCGATGTGCTCACTGGATAAACCCAAGTCTTTTTGACTTAGGATCATCGATTTAGGGTTGGCAGGGACCTCAGATGCCATCTTATCTGACCTTTTCCTTTTACAGATGAAGAAACCTGAGGCATGTAAGGTAGTGTCGTGCCCATGGTCATACAGCCATTTAGTGTCTGAGGCAGGATTTGAATTCAGGTCTTCCTGACTCCAAGCCCAGCACTCTTTCCACTATACCATGTGACTTGATGAAAGTCACCAGGGCCAAATCTTTTAGAGGATCACAGCTTCTAGGTTTGCTTCTAAACCTGGTATTTTTACTTAAACATTTTAAATAGTGAGTGCAGGCCAGCCAGTCATCCTCCAAAATCCTTCACCACCTGAAACTGGGGATTCAGCCCCATGCCCATTGCCCTCTTTTCTCAAAGCAAAATAGGTGGGACTGCATGCAAGGGGAGGAGAGATTTTATTTAAATAAAGGGAGCATAAAATATGAAGTACAAAACATAAAATCCTAAATGCAGTGGGGACAAAGCAAAGGAAGCCTTGCTTGGATTCCCAAAACCTTCTCATCCTCTGCACCCATCGTATAAACCTGCCTCGTGGCCCCAGCAACTGCCGTCTACATGCACTCAGTACACACAATCATACATATATACAGGCTCCGTTGCAAGCCCCCCTCCACCCCTCCCGTCCTTTTTCTTTAGTTCCCTAAAAGCTAGGAAGGAAACCATTTCAGTTCTTGTTGCCATGTTTCCCTTGTCTTCCAGGCTTGGGGGCACAGTGGTCCTTGGGGGGCGGTTAGGGATCATTTGTCTCCTGTTCCTATTAAGAGTGCCAGGCTGGGGTGGGGGGGCATGCTGTCAGCATCCTCGAAGGTGTTTTCACCTTTCTAGCCTCCAAAATGCTGCTTCTTCCACAAAGGGTCATACCTGAGGTCAGTAGAAACCAGAAGGAAACCCTGAAGGGGAAAGACATTTACAGATCATTCATTCATTCAATCAATCAATCAGTCAAGGATTTAGTAAGTTCCTGCTGTGTGCTAGACTGCATGTGCTGCATATGGAGTTAGGAAGACCTGAGATCTCATCTTGCCTCAGGCACTTACTAGCTGTGTGACCCCAGGCAAGTCAGTTAACCTCTGTCTGCCTCAGTTTCCTCATCTGTAAAATGGGGATGATAATAATAGCCCCTACCTCCTAGGGTTGTTGTGAGGATCAAATGAGATAAGAATTGTAAAGTGCTTTGTAAACCTTAAAGCACTACATAAATGTTAGCTATAATTGTTGGTATTAATCATGAACACTTAATACACAGTATTAGTATAATAAACTAATCTAATGTATAATAATATATTGTAGTATCGTTATGCTAAGTGCTAGGGATTCAAGGACAAAAGAGTGACAGGCCCTAGCCTCAATGAGCTTCCATTCTATCAGAGAATACAACGTGCACATATCAAAATAAAAACAAAATGGAAGGTCAGGACTGGATCTGTGATTTGATTGATGGAGGGAAGTCCGAGTAGAGGAAAGTCTCACTACCTACACCAAAAACTTAGTCTCAGACTCTCAGTCTCAGCCAGGTGAGGTTAAGTGATTTGCCCAGGGTCACACAACTAGTAAGTGTCTGAGGCAGGATTAGAACTCCAGTGTTTCTGGTTCCTGGTCCGTGCTCTATCCACTAGCTGCCTCCCATTAAATTAGAGAAAAGATTCTGCTTTCTGTTGTTGGCTAGCAAATTACAGATCGTTGGAAGTGCTTCCACGTCCCCAAGCTTTGGAGAACTAGTAGTATTAGCGGAAAGAACAACGGATTTGAAGCCAATGGACCTTAGTTTAGGTCTTGATACTGCCCCTTATTACCACATTGGACAAGTAATGCAACTCTCTGGATCTCAGTTTCCTCACCCGCAAAATAGAGGGTCCAGCTAGATGGCCTCTGAGGTTCTTTCTAGATTGACAGCTGGGGTACAATGATACTTGCAGAGGTTAGTGGGGGCTCTTAGCTGATGATCTGAATCTTGGAAATTTACATGGACCATTTCCATCCTTGTGCTATGCAGTGAAGGGATTTAGCCACTAGGTGGCGCCGGATTGACTGCCTAGTCTCACCTCAACTCCAATAGCGTAGTTGCAAATTTCAAGGAATAACTTGGTAGCTGATACAAGTGCTGGGCTTGGAATTGGGAAGACCTAGGTTCAAATCCCAGTTGAGATATAACTAGCTGTTTGTGGGATCCTGGGAGAATGGTTTAATGTCTTTCATGCTCAGTTTCCTTTCCTATAAAATGATGAGGGTGGGGGGTTGGAAGAAGGGGCATCTGAAGTCCTTTCTGGCTCAAAACCTCTGATCCCATGAACCATAGAAGGTCAGAGCTGGCAGGGACCTTAGAGATGGTCCAGGGTTTCTGCATCACGGGTCTTCGAACTTAAAAAACATTTTTTTGGACAATTGACAATGATTTCAATAGAATTGATTTCCTTTGTAATTCTATGTATTTTATTGTATGAATTTAGAAACATTATTCTGAGGAGAGCTCCATAGGCTTCAACAGGTTGCCAAAGGGAGTCTGGACACACAGAAAAGGTAAGAGTCTTGGGACTAGTTCAACAGCTCCTTTTATAGAGGAGGAGGCTCAGCTTCAGAGAGGGCAAGTGAGCTGCCCGGGATTGAATAGCTATTATCAATTGTCTTCAAATACTTGAAAAGCTGTTATTTAGAAAATGGATTAGGTTTATATTTCTTTATTCAAACTAGGACTGACCAATGAATAGTGGTTACACGGGGACTGAGTATGGTTCAACATAAGGAAAAACTTCCTAAAAATTAGAGTTATCCAAAAATAGAATGGGCTAGCCCAGGAAGGAAGTAGTTTCTGTTAATGGAAGTCATATGGGCATAGATTTCGAGATAACCGGGAGTAATCTGGTCTAACCCACTAATTTTGCAGATGAGGAAACCGAGGCCCATCGAGGTTAGGTGACTTGTGCAGGTAGGATTGTAGATCTTGAGTCTGAAGGGACCTCAGAAATCCTCCAGGCTAATTTCTTTATTTTACTGAGGCCCAGGGAGGTTACTTTGACCAAGGTCACAAAGAAAGAGCTGTGATTTGAACCTATTTCCTCTGACTTGAAATCGAGCCCTCTTTCCACTACGTCACAACGTTGAAATGTCTGGGATCGTGGGATCAAAGATTAAGCTGTGGCAAAGACCTTGGAAGTCATCTAATCCATCTTGCCCATTTTACACATGAGGAAACTGAGGCCCAGAGAAGTCAAGAGACTTGCCAAAGGTCACAACGATAGTAAGGAGCAGGGCTGGAATTCAGAATGTTGAGAGAGGGCTTCAGCTTTCACGTATGACGTGGACAAGATGACCTCTGGGACTTTGAACTTTAAAAGTTTAGGATAATTCTGTGATTCTACCATAAAAGAAGGCCTAACAGGAGAGTCAACTTCTCACCTTGTGAACTTCGATGTCAGACTTGACAAGAGATATCTGATGTGGGTTAGGCAGTGGGAAACCTTGCTGTAACCTGGCTAAAAAACAAAGCAAAATATTTTAAAAAATAACTTCAGAGATGCACAAGTATATAGCAGCTACTTTGCAAACATTTGTCTTTCAATGTTGTTCCTTTTTCTCTTTTTTATTTTTTTAATTGAATTTTACTTGCAATTTTATTTTCAGATCTGCCTTCTCTCCTTCCCATTTTTCCTTCAACCCCATTGAGAAAGCAAGGAAGACAAAATCCCTGTTACAAATATGAATAGGCAAGCAAAACAGATTTTCATGTTGCCCATGTCCAAAAGATGTGACTCAGTCAGCATCCCAAGTCCATCACTTCTCTGTCAGGAGGTGGGTTTTCTGGTTTTTTTTTAAAAAATTCTCTTGGATCAACACTTCCCCAGCTTTTCTCAGAACTTTTAAACTGATCCACCATATACTTAACTGAAAACGTCTGCAATTTTGCACATCTGGGCAGCAAGAAAGAAAATCTGACAGCTTTCTGTTCTCCCTTAAAAGCACAATTTACATTTTGCCGAGGCCCAGACTCAGGGGCTCTGAGAACATCTCATTCTTTAAAATCAAGAACAATTTGAATGAATACCCTGTAGTTGCAAATTGCTGAGCAATTGTGTGCTGGCTAAAGGACCAAGACTGGCAATCACTGAAGCTGAGTTTGTCAATTTCACCCGTGCATTCTGGTCCTTGCCCGGGTGGCCACCATGATTTCACCCTCTAAACAGAGCTTTGTAAGCCTGGGAGGAGAATCTAGCTTCCTGTGGATCCAAGCAGGAATTTCTCCTCAAAAGATTGTAAGAATTTTTTAAGCCTCCTCTATGTTGACGATAGACTCTTCCCTTCTCGTTGAGAGTTCCAATAAGGTTACTAGTATCAATGAAGGTCAATGAAGACTGGACTTAATCCATAATTCATTTCATAATCAAATTGTGAAGATTAACCCTTAAATCCCAAGGTTTATAATGTCGAGTCCACGGACCTCTGATTTAAAAGGAATAGATTTGAGGGGTCTATGAATTTTGGTGTGGAAAAAAAAATCTTTATTTTCACTAACATCTAACCAAAGTTTAGCATTTCCTCTGATTATGAATTTTAAAAAATTTATTCTGAGAAGGGGTGCATAGGTTTCACCAGACTGCCAAAGGGGTCCATGACGCCGAAAAGGTTAGAACCTTTTAAGAATGCTGATTGCTACTATCCTGAGCTGCATTAATACCAATGCCCCAGTAAGCAGCAGCCTTGGGGTGCAAGATAGAGAATATTCCCAAATGCTTTACTGATCCCTAGAAATCACATAGTTTGTTATTACGCTCTAGTCATTAAAGGATGCTGTGGCACCCCTCTGACTTACCATTGGCTAACGGGAAGACTCCAAAGTGAAGGATGGAGGAGAGAATGTTCTCAAATCTCAGGACCTATAACAAAGGACCAAGTCAGATGAGTAGGGGGAAGCTAGGTGGCGCAGTGGATAGAGCACCGGCCCTGGAGTCAGGAGGACCTGAGTTCAAATCCGGCCTCAGACACTTGACACTTACTAGCTGTGTGACCCTGGGCAAGTCACTTAACCCCAAGTGCCAAACCCGACCCCACCAAAAAAAGGAATAAAACAGATGAGTGGGCAGCTCGCAGACCATGAAATTCTTACGTAGTACAAACAAGTCTTCATCCTTGTTCAATTCTGATCTGGGTGAAGATTAATCCAAAAAGAGGCAGCATGGTATAATCACAGTAGATAAGACCACTAGACCGGGAGTCAGGAAGACCTGGGTTCAAATACTGGCCCAGACACTAACAAGCTGTGTGGCCCTGGGCAAATCACTCTACCTCTCTATGCCTCAGTTTCCTTATCTGTAAAATGGGAAGGGGGGGCAGTGGTTAGCCTTGAAGGAGACTAAGGTTTCTTCCAGCTCTAAATCTATAATACTATGATGAGAGAGCGGGGCAGCTAGGCGGTGCGGTGCCTAGAGTGCTGAGCCTGGAGTCAGGAAGACTCCTCTTCCTGAGTTTAAATCTGGCCTCAGACACTTACTAGCTGTGTGACCCTAGGCAAGTCACTTAACCACTATTTGCCTCAGTTTCCTCATCTGAAAAAATAAACTAGAGAAGGAAATGGCAAATCACTCCAGTATCTTTGCAAAGAAAACCCCAAATGGGGCCACGAAGAGTCTGGAAATGACTGAACCACAACAAAATAACTATGTGAAAAGTGCTATATAGGGTCATTTCAATAGTGTCCACTCCAAGTGCCTGTCAGAAGTATGAAGAAGGGATGGTTTGTGATAGAATGTGGTTGAAGTAGATAGAGAGCCGGTCTTTAGAGACAGAAAAACCTGGGTTCGAGTTCCTCCTTTGGCTGTATTACCCTGGGCAAGTCACTTAAATGCGATGACAAGGAAGTTTGGCCTGAACTTCCTTTGCAGCCTTGATCTGCTTTAATTCCTTGCTGAGTTAAGGAATGAGCCGTCTCTGTAGGAGAAAGCTTACCTGTGTCCTCTGGGACACTCGGGCCTGTCCTCCCCCCTGCATGACTATACCTGGGTTATCAAACAGCCATCCACCCCGACTGGTATTAACGGCTTCTGGGACCGAGAATGGCCTTAGGCCCTGCCTCCTACCTACAGGAGTCTCCAGCTACTCCCCAGTCAGTCCTCCAACCTGTAACTCAGGCTCCTCCTCCCTCTGTCTTCGAGCAAATTGAGGAAAAAAGTCATTGTCTGGTATCCTGGCACCTGATACCCAGCGCTGCGACTGCCACATCCAGGGCTGTTCTCATTCCACCGGGTTGCTTGATGTGGCGGCTTTTATGTTACATGGGACTGATGTGGGGAAGAGTAAGAAAGAAGTGTGAAAACCCCTGCTCCTAGGGTAATTGTCAGGGGGCCTTGGCTGGGCACAGGGTTCTAGACCTTCTCTAGTTTTTAGCTAGAGCTTTTAGCTGAGCTGCTATTTCTTCCTTGGGCCCTGGGAGGGTCCCACCATTGCCTGGTGATGCTGACCTTATAAAGCAGTCCCAAGGACGTGGGCTGGGCAAGCGAAGAGGCAGATGGCATAGTGGATGGGGCATTGGCTTTGCAGTCAGGAGGTTGTGGGTTCAAGTCCTATTTCTGGCCTAAATTAAGTATGTGACCCCAGGTAAGTCACTCTACTCAATGCCCTGGGCAACTCTTTAAGGCTCTATTTGGAAGAGAAAAGGCCCATTTGCATTGATAGCTGAAGTTTCCCACTGAAGTATGTTTTTATTGTGTTTTTACATGTTCTTGCCGGGGCATCTAGAGGGTGCAGTGGATAGAGCACCAGCCCTGGAGTCAGGAGGACCTGAGTTCAAATTTGACCTCCGACACTTAATAGCTGTGTGACTTAAATCCAAATCACCTTCCTGATGTCGTGGTCCTCTTTGGAACAAAGGACAATCAATGATCCTGGACCAGTCACTTAACCCCAACTGCCTTTCCGTCTCTAGCTTTTTTTTTTCTTGTATTATAAATCTTGAGGAAACATTGTATAAGAAATACTGTTCAGGATGATGTAATTGTGTCATTGGAAAATTTAACCTTTTTGATTTGGATGCTGTGAAATTATTAAGTTATTAAGAGGCTATTTTCATGTTAAAAAAAACCTTTGTTGTTCAGTTGTTTCTTAGTCTCTTTGTGACCCCATTTGGGGTTTTCTTGGCAAAGATACTGGAGTATTTGCCTTTTCCTTCTCTAGCTCATTTTCCAGTGAGGAAACTGAGACAAACAGGGTTCAGTGACTTGCCCAGGGTCACACAGCTAGTAAGTGTCAAGTGTTTGGTCTGATGCCGGATTTGAACTCAGGTCCTCCTGACTTCAGGGCCGGTGCTCTATCCACTGCGCCACCTAGCTTCCCCCCCTACCAAGTATTTAATTGGGTATATTTTAAAAGCTGGACTTCTAGCTGTCCAAACTAATGAATCTATGTTTCAAATGAAAACAAAACAAAAAAACCCCTAAGAGTTTGCCTTTCTAGCTGGTACCACTGAGCTCTAGGGTGGCTTCTGGTTTTTTTGTTTTTTGTTTGTTTGTTTTTTGGTGAGGCTATTGAGGTTAAGTGACTTGCCCAGAGCCACATAGCTAGTAAGTTTCAAGTGTCTAAGGCTGGATTTGAACTCAGGTCCTCCTGACTCCAAAGCTGGAGCTCTATTCACTGCACCACCTAGCTGCCCCTAGGGTGGCTTCTGGGTTGTTACTCTGATCACTGTATCTTTTTCAAGTTACAGGGATAAGAGACACATAAAGCGATGAGAGTGGTGGGGAGATACCTGGCCTCACAGGGGCACCCACACACCCAGACTCTGGATAGCCATATTCCAAATAACTCCAGGAAACTGGCTCAAAAGCCTCAAAGGGCAACTATAATGAATATTGACCTACAATGCCCATTTACCCTCTTCCTTTGGGATTCTGGGGCATAAGTTTAACTCCAGAAGCTTAGCTTAAAACTGTTTTTTTTTCATGGGCTTTGAAATCCTGAGAACAACTGCTTCTCCTACATCCCGTTGAGCTCTAGCAGTCTTCCGAATGTTCTGTTTCAAAAGTCCTTGCATAGATTTCACGGACTGACAGTGGAAGTCTCTTTTGTAAAGAGCAAATTAGCCTGGTGGGTGGAGGAACCTCGAGAGAGAAAGATTTTTGGAGCAGAAAAGCAAAAGGGGGAAAGAGATAGTTGAAGCAGAAGATATGATCATCCAGGCAGAAAGGCAGCAAGCCAGCAGGTGGGGAGGCAGCTCAGATGCCTTCTCTGAGACCCGAGGTTCTTAAATCTTACCTCAATGGAACTACGATTAGACTCTGGCCCAGAGAGACGGAACCTGGAGAGAAAGAAGGTCAGAAAGTCGTTTTAAAAAATATAAGAAAAACGGCTTAAATTTCAAAATGCCAAAAATGAAAAAAAAAAAACCTAGCAAGAACGGAGAGGCAGACACATGTTCTCTATCATTAAATTTACCCTTTTGGGAAACGCTGGGGCAAGCCCTCAGCTTACTCAAGTTGGTTCTAAAAGTTCTTTTATAAGTTCATTCAACATTCACTCATTCATTCATTTAATGGACAACAAAGAGTATTTGGAAAAGAATGCTATATTTGGAGCTGGGAGACAAGCTTCAAATCTCGACTCATTATTATCTATGTGACCTTGGGCAAGTCATTGCATGTTAATGAGCTTCTCTTTCCTCATCTGTAAAATGAAGGGTGTGGGTTGGATGGCCCTTAACATCTCTTCCTGCTGTGAATCTATGCTCTTGTAATCTTGTGAATCACTCCCTGTGTGACCTTGGGCAAGTCACTTAACTTCTTCAATCTGCTGCCTCATCTCTGTAAAGGTCACTTGCAGTTCTTCTTTTTTTTTTTTCCTTGGCTAGGCAATGGGGTTAAGTGACTTGCCCAAGGTCACATAGCTAGTAAGTGTTATGGGTCTGAGGCTGGATTTGAACTCAGGTCCCCCTGAGTCCAGGGCCAGTACTCCATCCACTGCACCACCTAGTTGCCCCTCACTTGCAGTTCTAAATCAATGATTCTACCGAAATTATAAAGCACCAATTGTGCACTCAGTGCTGGGGTTGGTGGCCAGCCACAATGTATTTTCCATAGGAAGGGTGTGATGATTAACCCTTAGGTTTCCCAGACTAGTTCCTCAAAGCTCATTCACTCTTTCACGTAGCTGTATTATGGCACCACCTGTCACATGCAGCTTGTAACTGTGACAGCATGCCAGCCCATCACAAGAGTGAGGGTTGTTGGTGACTCCTGGTCCTCGGCCCTCTGCCAGCTGTGGCTCAGCTGGTCTATGGAGCCTCTCCCAGCTCCTGGCTCCAGCTGGAGTCCTTAGCTGAGGGTCTGTGTCTTGGAGCCTTTTTTTCTGCATCAGGTGGAAAACTCCTGGCATGGAAATTCTCTTCACCAACAAAGACTGGTGACTTTGTGATGGCCAGTATGAGTCCATACACACACACACACACACACACACACACACACACACACACACACACACGACACTAGATAGTACAGAAGAGAGAGCCATGGGCCCATCCAAAGTTTATGTGTACGTGTTGTTTCTTCTTATAGAATGGAAGACCCTCAAGGACAAGGACTATTTCATTTTTGCCTTTTTACTCCCAGCACCTAACAGTTCCTGCCATATAATACATACTTGATGGGTGATTGAATAGAGGACTGTGATCACTCCCTTCCCCATCAAATAGCCCTCATTGTTAGAGAGATTCTTGCAAATCTAAGCTAAATTGAGTAGACCACGAAAGCAACGACTTCCACTTTACTTAATGCTCCAAGGTTTATCAATATCCCCCCCCCCCAACAACTCATGGAGGAAAATGCAAGTATTATTATCCCCATTTTACAGATGAGGAAACCAAGGTGTAAAATGACCTCCCCAAAGTCTCACAGCTAGTAAGTGTTTTCATTGTTGTGATTTGAAACTTTGTCATTGGACTGTTAGCCCAGTGTCCATGATACTTTGTGATATTGTGGCCTGAGATTTCCATGTGTGGTCTTGGGGAAGGTGCTTATCTGCAGGTGTGCTGGTAAATGTTTAACGACTGACTCTCTGGGCATGGGGGTGGGGATGTACTCTAGACATAATTTTATGTGCATTATTTTCATGTGCATTTTTAATATTTTCTCTATCACTTTCTTAAAATGGAAACAGTAAACAATAAACCAAGCCCTGATCTGCAGTGTTACTTATTTCTCAGGTGTAAATGCTCACAATGAAAATTTAACAACTGGCTCTCCAGAAGGCATTTGAGCCGGCTCTAGGCCCCCTTTTCCTACCCCATCAACCCCTTGCCTTAATGCTTGTGAAGCAGAGGCTGACACAGACTGCTTGGCTCAGCGGGTTGCTTAGTAAATCAAAGATAGGGCACTCTATCTGTCCCACCTATTGGGAAAGCTTCCACTCCAACAAGACACTGTACCAGCCACTTTCTGACCTAACTGGTTTGCCCTTCTCTATCTGCTCCGCAGAATGCTTCTGCTGACAGATATTTATCTGTCTACACTTGTATAGTGTGAAAGAAGGAAGCAGTCTTACTAGAGGGACCAAACATCACATTACAGATGTGGAGCTGGAAGGAAACTTAATGCCCATTCACCTCATTTTGCAAAGGAGGAAACTGAGGCAAACAGGGCTAAGTGACTTGGCCAGCATCACACAACCAGTAAGTGACTGAGGCCAGATTTGAACTCAGGAACATAATAAGTCTTTCTGACTCTAGCCCAGCACTCTATGTACTATGGCGCCACCTAGCTGCCCTGTCACACATCTAGTAAGTATCTAAAGTGGGATTCTAACTCAATTCTTTTCTTTTTTTAATTTTTATTCATTTATTTTGATTTATCAACAATCACTTCCATATGCTTTTGAGTTTAAAATTTTTCTCCCCCTTCCTCCCCATCACCCTCCCCAAGACGGCACACAATCTGATATAGGCTATACATTTACATTCCTATTAAACCTATTTTCACATTAATGATGTTGTAAGTAAGAATTAGAACCAATAGGAGGAACCACCAGAAAGAGGAAACAAAACTCAACAGAAGAGAAAAAATAGCAATTCAAATTCCATAGCTCTTTCTTTGGGTGGCATTTTCCATCACAAGGCCTTTGGAGATGCTAACTCAATTCTTGATTTCAGATCTAGCCCTTTATTTTCCATGGAACCTCTTATAAAATTATAGGCTTAAGAGTCATAGGAAAACCAAGAAACCATCTAGTATGACCTGATCACTGGAGAGATGAGTACAGAGAGACACAGCAGAATAAAACTCAGCATTCCAAGTTCTTCTCTGTCTTTGTCTATCTGCTGAGTTTCCTTGCTCCACTAAGAAAAAAGCAACTCACCTCCTACAGAAAAAAAAAATGATTTTTCTCCTGCTGTCCTAATGTTGATTTTGAACACGTGGTCTTCCAAAACTGCCTAAAAGTAGTCAATTAAACCCAATTTATCTTACCTGTTCAGAGATAAAGAGCAGATCAACTTTTGTCCCAAAATGGCCAGGCCAACACTAGTACTGGCCACCTGCGGAAGACCAAACACTTTGGTTACTGGGCTGAACAAATGTCATTTCAGATCCAAACACCGTCCTTTTCTGTAACTGGAAATGCAGAAACTCCATTGTCTTGAGCAGAATCTAGCTCAAGAAATCCTCTTTCTCAGGAACGGATTTGAAAAGACACCATCCGTTCTTATTTCCTTTTATCACACTTCCTTTCTCCCTCTCAATTATCTTCTAAACATGGTTAACTGTTTTATTAAAAAAATAATGGTGACAATAATTGGTGATCGTAATGATCAAGCTTGCCCTGAGGAAGATAGAAATAAATTCTCCTTTCTCTCTGCTTGGGAGAAGGGGACTCTGAGGATGGAATACGATCAAGCACAAGACTGAAATGATGCATGGGCTAGTTTGAGGTATTTTCCATGCTCCTGTTTTCTCCTCCACCTTTTTATTCATCACGAAGTGGGATTGCCCTTTGGGAAGGGAAACATACAGTTAGGCTTTAAGGTGATGCAAAAGGAAAAGATAAATTAAAAAAAGAAAAGGTTGAACATTAAAAACAGCTGACCAAATGTCTGTAATAACTATTAGAATTATTCTCAGGAATACGATGATCTAAGACAATTCCAAAGGACTCACGATGGAGCATGCTATCAGCCTCCAGAGAAAGAACAAATACTGTCTGAATACAGACTGAAGCATGCTATTTTTCACTTTCTTTCATTCTTTCTTTTTATTCAAGTCTTCTTATAAAGAATGACTAATATGGAAATGTTTTATATGATTGTTCATGTATAACCTACAGCAGATCCTATACTGTCTCAAGAAGTGAAGAGGGGAGGGAGGGAGGGAGGTATAGAATTTGGAACTCAAAACTTAAAAAAAAAAGCTTTAAAAATTGTTTTAACATGTAATTGGAGCAAAATAAAATACTACACAAAATAATTATTAGCATTTAATTTTTTGTTATGTCACATCCAATATGTTAAGTCATGTTCAATTCTTTGTGATACCATTTGGGGTTGTCTTGGCAAAGATACTGGAGTGGTTTGCCATTTACTTCTCCAGCTTATTTTACAGATGAGGAAACTGAGGTAAATGGTGTTAAGTGACAGGGTCACATAGCTAGTAAGTGTCTGAGGCTGGATTTGAACTCAGGTCCTCCTGACTCCAGGCCCATCACTCTATCCACTGTGCCACCTAGCGGCTTCAGTGTGATGCCATATTGTTCTCCAAAAATATTCCACAGGTTTGCAATTCCACCGGCAATGAATGAGTGTACTTATTTCTCCATATCCCTGTTAGCATTGAGTTTCTTTGCATTTCCAAATTATTGTCTGACAATTTGATAGGTAGCTATCTTTTTGTTGTCTTTCCAGCCCATCAGGAAGGAAGACCTCAGCAGGTCCCGGGGATAAACCATAAATACTTCCAGGTGCTGAGGAAGCAGGTGGTCAGTACTCCATCGAATGAAAGCTACTTGGGGGGTCTTTGAGAAGAATTCACCTCCCTTGCTCTGGTTACTTACAAAATCCATAGAGACGATAGCTTCCTCGGTGGCGTTTTTAGGTTTCGTCAGCATCACAACAGAACCAGGGATGTTGAGGGTAAAATTGTTTGGTTCTAGACTGACCACTGGGGGTTCGGTGGTCAGAACTCTCATCATCAGGGGCTGGCTCATTATATATAGTTCTGCAATCTGCCCAAATTCGAGAAAAGACAGGTGGAGTTAAGTAATGTGAAAATACTGAGGATCAAAACCAAACCAACAAGTCTTGCTTAGTAACTATGAACATTGAAACGAGTCAATTTCCATAGTTACTAAGCAAATCTCGTTGGTTTGGTACAAAAAAATTGACAAAATCAAGTGTCATTAAAACAACTTTTTCAGTTATTTGCTTGAGTCTCTATGCTGTATCTGTACAGGCTTAGGTTTGGGGCAGTCTTAGATGATTGTCAAATTTTAGACAATAAGAATAACGACAACTAATATCTAAAGTTTACAAAATTCTTTACACACATCCTCCCATTTGATTCTCATGACAATCCTGTGAAGTAGGAGCTGCTTTAGAGATGAGGAAATTGAGGGTGAAAAAGGTTAAGTGACTTGCTTAGGGTCACATAGCTAGTTAAGTGTCTGAGGAAGGATTTGAACTCAGGTCTTCTTGATGCCAAGTCCAGTATTCTATCCACTATACTTCTCCACACTAGTTTATAAGAAATAAAGATGGCTGCGATTCTTAAAATCTAGCCGCTGCTCAGATTCTTATAATCTAGCCAATAGCTCACAAATGTTCAGATTCCTTAAGAGTCTGGCCAATATGGCGGATCTTTAATAAATCTTGTCTTTGAAAAAAAAAAGAGAAAAAGAAAATTCTGAGGTGCCAAAAATGAAAGCTTCGCTAAAATTAAAATGCTTTTTGTTATATACACAACTGCTATATAGCCTATGCTAGACTATAAGCTCTGTGAGGGCAGACATTCTCAACATATAATATTCAGCTGAATATCAGCTTCACAAAACTCACAACTGCAGACAAAATCCCCTCTCCTCTCATTGATTCAAATGCTTTTGAACCAAGTTGAAAGCTGAAGGGAAAAGCAAATATCTTATTTGGGGAACTTACGGTGGGATAGTCAGATACCTTGAACATATCTACACTGTCACCTTAAGTTTATCTCAAAGGGAATTCATTGTCTTTTCCCCTCAACCTGCTCCTCCCTTCGAAATTTATTATTTGTCTGCATTGCTACCCTTCACCCAGTATCCCAATTTCAAAGCCTTAGTATTAAGTCAGCTTCCTTCTTTTTCTTTACCTCTCATAGTGAAGCAGTTACCAAGCCTTATCGATACCATCGTTCTCCGGTTGTCTCATGACCGTATCCTCTTCTCAGTTCCTTCTTCTATCCTCACACCAGTCTGGGTCCTCATTCCTTCTCACTTAGACTATTGCAAGAATTTTGTTACAGGACCTCCCATCCCCACTATGTCGCCACTCAGATCCACTCTTTGTAAGACCATCAGAATCTTTGTTTCTATGCATTTCTTCTAGTCCTATTACTTCTCTGCTCAGAAATCTTCACTGACTCATTAGAGTTCACCCAATAATGGTTATTTTCCTCCTAATGGCATTCCATGATTGGGACTCTTAAGACAGTCATCAAAAATTAGACCACCCAAAAATCCACAAAGCAAAAGAATTCTTGTGAAGTGGCTAAAATGAGACCAAGGAAGTAGTGGAGTATACTAGAAAGAATTCTGTGTTGGAAGTGAGAACTATGGGTTTAAATCTGGGGTCTTTGACTTCTTGACATCAACTTGGAGGCAGATTGGTTCTGAACTTCCCTGGACCTCAGCTTCCTCCTCTATAAAATGGGTTTGGACTCATTGGCCTCTAAGATTCTGTTCACCTCTAAACCTGGGATCCCGTGATCTTAGGACTTCTGAGGTTCCTTCTAGCCAGACATCACCCCGTGATGTCATTGGTCTTCTTCAAAAATGAAGGATGAAAAACAACAACCACAACCACAACAACAAAAACAACGACTCTCTATCCTGTGATAGACATGTGATCAAGAAGCAGAACTTGAATCACTCACCTGAGAAAACAAACTCCCAATGCCCTGGGGGTTTTGAATTAGATGCTTGGATAGCTGGAAAATAAACGGAGAAGGCAAGTCAGCCTTGTGTTAATTTCTCATCTCGTTTTCCTTCAAGAGGAAAATGCTGTGTTTACTATCATTTTTATGATGCAAAAGCATCTCTCTGAAGGAGAGTTGTAGCATATTACTTCTTAGAGATAGCTAGATGGTGCAGTGATTAAGAGCATTGGACTTGGGGAATCAGGAAAACCTGAGTTCAAATCTTGCCTCTGATAACTTCCTAGTTGTACAAATCATGGCAAGTCACTTAACCCTGTTTGCCTCAGTTTCCTCATCTGTCAAATGAGCTGGAGAAGGAAATGGCAAACCACTCCAGTATCTCTGACTCCAAATGGGGTCACGAAGAATCAGACAGGATTGAAAAAATGACTTAATAACAAACAACAATACAGATCTATGAAAATGTATAGATATACATATGTATAATGCTTTGAATTTCTTGGAGTATTTTCACATAAACTTTAACAGCCTCAGTGTCCTCATCTGTAGAAATGGAATAATAACAGTGCCGACCTTAGAGGACGGTCATGAGGAACAAATACGGTAACGTGTTTACAATGCTATCCAAACCTTGAAGTGCTATGTAAAGGCTGGCTATTATTTTTGCTTGCAAAAACATCATACAGGAATGTTTTAAAAGGACAAGCATCTTAATATTGCCACTCATTTTTTAAAAAGTGTGTGGAAGTGTTGGGACTGGTGGGAGTGAGTAGGGATGGACTGTGTCATGGGATTCACAGTCACACATGAGTTTTAAACCAAGATGGCTCTAAACCAAGATGGTGAAACTCAAGATGATGCCATATATTGTTTAAAGAAACTAGGGATATTTAGCCTGGAGTAGAAAAGTCTCAGGGAAGACATGAAAGCTGCCTCCAAGTACATGACTAGCTGACCCGTGGAAAAGGGTTAGATTTGTTCTGTTTGGTCCCAGGGGGGAGAACAAAAGTCGTGGATGGAAGTTGCAAAAAGGGAAATTGATGGGTTTGATGTCAGGACAAATTTTCTAGCAATTGGAGCTGTTCTGAAGTGGGCTTTTTGGGGACGTGACAGCTTCCTGTCCCTGAAGATCTTCAAGCAAAGGCTGAATGACTTTTACAGGACGTGTGATCTAGGGAATTCTTGGTGAGAGATGGGTTGGCTTGTTGGCCTCCAAGGTTCTTTTCTAACCCTGTGATTCAGAAATTGGAAATTTCTGACTCTCAGTATGTTCAGCTGCTTTTGAATCATTAAATGACAGGCTCTTAGAGGTAGAAGGCACCCCAGAGGTAATCCATTCTAACCCCTGACCTGCACAAGAATCCCCTCCTGATAAATAATAATGATAATAATAATAGCATTTATATACACTTTAAAGTTAGCATAGGGCTTTACAAATATTGGGTTATCACAACAACTTTAGGAGACAGGTATTATTATTTTCCCCATTTTACGACTGAGGAAACTGAGGTAGACAGAGGTTGAATGACTTTGCCCAGAGTCACTCAGCTGGTAAGTATCTGAGGCAGAATTTGAACTCAGGTCTTCCTGACTCCAGATGATTAGCCAACCTCTGCTTGAAGGTTTCTTAGTGTAGGAGAATCTACTATCTCCCAAGCTAGCCCATTCTACATTTGGACAGCTCCAATTGTTAGGAGGTTTTTCCTTTTGAGGACCTAAAACTGACCTGTCTCCCACTTTTCCCCATTGCTCCCACTTCTGTTGTTGGAGGCCAAGTAGACTTTCTCACAAATACAAAATAAAGACTTCCTTTGCCCACGTATGTATGTATGTATATACTATCTACTATCTATGTATCCATCCATCCATCTATCTAATCTATCTATCTATCTATCTATCTATCTATCTATCTATCATCTATCTATCTATCTATCTATCTATCCATCCATCCATCCATCCATCCTTTGATCCATTCATCCTATCTATTCACCCATCTATGTATACATCCATCTATCCATCCATATTATCTATCTATCTATCTCTCTGTCTATCTACCTATCCAGCTAACTCTCATGATTGCTCAATGATGCAATTAAAATCTATGACATGAAAATATGCAAGGCTCTATCCACGGAAGATAACTCAATTTATGCTGATGGTTAACTGATTGTAGAATTTGCTTCCATTGTAGGTGGGAGGAACATGGTATGAAGATCAATGAGTTTGTCTGCTCTTCTATGAATTACTATAGATTAATTAATTCCAGTTGATAGCAGATGGGAATGTTTGGGGACACAAGAGGTTGTTCACATGGTGAGATCCATTCCATTCTTAAGAACCAATCCAGAAAAATATCCAAGAAACTCAAGGTAATCTAAAGGCCAAATACAGTAACAAAGACCAGTCTTTTCATTGTTGTTATTGATGTCGTTCTAGCTTGATCAATTAGCTGGTATTTGTTAATCAGCCAATCATCTAGTATTTATTAAGTGCTTAAGTGTGCTGGGCACTGTGCTGTGTTGGATATATAGAGAAAGGGAAAAATAATCCCTGTCATCAAAGTACCTACATTCTAATGGTAGAGTCAAGATATATGTGTACATATATATATATATATATGTGTGTGTGTGTGTGTGTGTGTGTGTAATATATGTGTAATATTTATATATGTAAACACATCTATTATATATAGTATATGTGCATGTGTGATACACACATCAACAAAATATATACAATAATATGTATGTATAGTTATATATACACACATATATACATATGTATGTGTGTATACACACACACACATATATATTTTAGTTGTTGTTGTCATTCAGTCATTTCAGTTGTGTCCAACTCTTCATGACCCCATTTGAAGTTTTCTTGGCAAAGATTCTATAGCGGTTTGCCATTTCCTTCTCCAGCTCATTTTGCAGATGAGGAAACTGAGGCAAACAGGGTGAAGTGATTTGCCCAGGGTCACCCAGTAAGTAAGTGTCTGAGGCTGGATTTGAACTCAGAAGACAAGCCTTCCTGGCTTCAGGCTCAGCCCCCTTTATATGTACAAGAACACAAGCATATACACATAAGTGTACACACACAAACACAAACCTACACACAATATGATATATACAGAGCAGATAGAAAGTATCATCGGATGGGAAGGCTCTAGCTGCTGGGGAGACCAGTTGATGGAGACAAGCCAGCAGTTTCTCAAGGTTAGTATAGATGGAAGATCCCAGGATGTGACTCAACCAGGGCACTAAGCCCAGGGTAAGCATTGTGCCTCTTACCTCTTTCGTGGTCAGGGTGATATTGAAAGCCCCCGTTAGGAAATAAGTGAACGATGCTGACCTAAGGAAATACTCTGAGATTCCAATGTAAAGCATCGAATCACCGCGGTCTGGGAGCGTGAATGGGACAGGTTGGAAGGGAGGGTCAGTAAGATTTCCCACTTGGTAGAATGTGCCCTACATGGAGGGAAAAGGAAGAACAATCAATATATTTTGTGAAAAAGCAAGTCATCATAGCAATAACTGATGGATATCCGTGCATATAGTGCCTTAAAATTGGCAAAGCACTTTACTGATACTTTTTGTCATTACATCCTGGAGGCAGGGTAGCTTAATGGATAGAGTCCTAGCCTTAGAGACAAAGAGATCTGGGTTTAAGTCCCACGTAGTCTGTGTGACCTTGGGCAAGTCCCTTAACCTTTCAGTACTCCAGGCAACTCTAAGACTAGAAGGTACAAATTCATTTTTTAAATGATGGAGAAAGTTCCTCACTGAGAGCTCCCTGTGTAGATGAAATCATAGGTCTAGTAAAATCAACAACACAAATAACAATAGTTAGCATTTACATCCAACTTTAGGGGTTACAAAACGCTGTACATATGTTTATCTCATTTGAACCTCACAACAACCTTGAGATGTAGGTGCTATTATTTAGTCCCATTTTATAGATGAGAAAACTGAGGCTGAGAGCGATCAAGTGACTTGTCTAGGATCACATAGCTAGCAAGTGCCTGAGTCAACCAAAAGCTTCTAAAGTAGATACTAATATCCCCACTTTACAGATGAACAAACTGAAGCTCAGGGAGGTTGTATGACTTGTCCAGACTTACACAATTAATAAGTATCAGAGGCAGTATTTGAATCCCAGGCCAGGCATTCTATTATGCTACATCCCTTCTCCCTTAGAGTGTGGCAACCAAGGAGTCAGGAATCCTAAAAGTTAGGGCAAGAAAAACTCTAGAAGTTTGGTAAAATTGAGTGTGGGGAGTTGGGGGGTGGGGTGGGAATGGAAACAACCCAAATCTAATGACTATTTGATCAGGAATGATATTTTTAAAACAAGGATAATTAGCCTCTAGAACAAGAATGAATTACTCTGTTATAATTAGTAAAAGAGGCTTCTTGTTTTTCACTCTTTGCTTTCAAAGAGGACCAATGACATCACGGGGTGATGTCTCGATTCTCATGTGAACTGGATTGAAGTGAGGCAGAGCTGCACAGAATCATCAGCCTCACTCTCTCTTCCAGTCATCGAAGTCCAGTGGCAAGACAAAAATCAAGATGACTGGCAATGGCCCAGGATGCTATTATGATTTCTGACCAGACCAGACCCCACTGGGGAGAGCAGACATCAGTTAAACCATTAAATCAACAAATTGTGAATGGAAGTGTCGACAGAGGAACAATGTCTACATTAATTAATTTTCTAAGCACCGATAAGTATAGCTGATTACACTGTTTCCTAGCCCAGAATGGATAGACTCTCGGGTCCATCTCAGCAAACCATGGTGGACTCCTGAGTGTGCTGCTATGTTTTGAATTCTGAAGCAATTGCTAAACAACAGAGAATCTTTAAGGAACAGAATCTTGAAGGGGTTGTGGGAAAGGAAATGAAGCTGTCCTGCTCTAAAGTCTTCCTCTGAAGCTTCTTGGAGGTGTAAAGATGACCCCAGGTTCATCTCTTTGGTTAAGCAGTTCCCAATTACATTTTAATCTGGTTTGGGCCTCACTTGGGGCTGCAATGTGGCCATTGGTGTTGGACCCCTGTGGTTTAGACAAGTTATCTAATATCCCTAGGGTCTCAGTTTCCTCTTCTGTCTTGCACATAGTAGGCATTGAGGGATTGATTTGTAAATGGAAAAGGTTGGAGCAGTTGACTCTGAGGTCCCTTCCCACTCTGGGTTCAGGGAAAAGGATCCCCCTTCCCCTTCATGCTTAGCTTAAGTGCCACATCTACATGAGGGTTTTCCTGATCCTCCCAATTGCTGGTGTCCCTGGAGATTCTGGAAGTCCAGAAGCCTCAGGAAAAAGACCCTCTATTGACAATATTCCATTCTGCTGAAAGTCAGTGCCACCTCCCAAGAATAAACTGACTTTTCAGAGTACTCTTGTTGATGACCAAAATGATGATAGTGACAATGACATTGACCAAATTACCTTCAGATTCAGGTCAATGGATGACTGGGTGATTTCTGGAGGCTCCAAAAGGGAGTAATCTAGCAGGATGTCCTCGCCAAACTTGGTTACAACTAAATGGGAAGCAGAGGAAAGAAATGATCCACATTACAAAAGGCACACTGGAATATAAAAGCTGCACCTATCCAGAAAAAAGATGGGATTTTGGTTAGCCAGGAAGGCAAACAAAGCACCATACAGAGAGACAGAGAGAGAGAGAGAGAGACAGAGAGAGACAGAGAGAGACAGAGACAGAGAGACAGAGACAGAGATTGAAAGGGGAAATATTGAGAAGGTGGTGGGGATGAGAGAGACAGAGATAGATAAAAAGATAGTCAGAGAGTTGGGGGGGAAGAGAGAGACAGAAATGAAGAGAGAGACACAGACAGACAGAGATAGAAGCACAAAGAGAGAGATTGAGGGGGAAGATTGAGAAGTGGGGGAGAGGGAAATAAAGACAGAGAGATAGAGAAAAGAGAGACAGACAGAAAAATGATCAGAGTCAGAAGGGAAAGAGACAGAAATGGACAGAGAGATGGAGAGAGAAACAGAAGAAAGGAGAGAGAGACAGAGACAGATAGCCAGACAGAGACAGAGAGAAGCTCTGTTCCACTTTCTGAAACAAGGTAACCACATCACTGTCTAATTCTCTGTGCTTCCTTTTGGGCTTGGAAAAGAAATCTGATTCATCGTAGCAATGTGGGGCTGGATCACAGAGTCACAAAATTTAAAAGTTGGAAGGGATTGTAGTAGTCCAACCCATACCTGAAAGAATAAAGATAATGGTTTTGGCATAATGTTCCTAAATCACCACATATTGAAAATTGAGACTGGAAAACATAGAGGAGAAGGAAGAGGAAGAAAGAGGAGGAGGAAGAGGAAGAGGAGGAGGAAGAGGAAGAGGAGGAGGATAAGGAGGAAGTATGATAGGGAGCATGGCATTAGAGATCTAGGATCAAGATGACCTGTCATTGACATACAGTGGTTATATGACCATAGACAATGAGTGCCCCAGGTAACTTTTTAAATCTATAAGTCATAGATGAGTTGTCAATCTGTATCAGTAAAGAGAGTTTCCATTTTTAGAATTTCCTATACGGTTGAATTCCAATTGCTCCTAGCATGGGTCACATTTATTTAGTTCTTTAAAGTTAGAGATTTTTAAATGGAAATATTCAAGAAGAGATAGCTAAAAAGGGTCACCTTCCAGAGAGCTTATATTGGCATTTATATCTTCAAACCGATCCATGATAATCGGACACAGCTGGAAAAAAAAAGAATAATAACATTGCTATTATGTTATCACAAGAAGAGATTGCCATGTAGGATACAGCTATGTTGAGATGCACCTTTTTTCCCCCAGGAGTGAAAAAAAGTACCTGTCATGGTATAAATTACAGGCCAAGAACTGCTGATGCTTCCCTGGGCCTGAACGTACACTGCAGCCTGGGAATATGCCTGGTACTTGATCCCAGGCTAGAGAAAACCCTCTGCTGGGTAAATACCACCTAGGCTGGTTTGAATTTGAACCATATCCTTTTCCCATTTGATCTTTTGCAGAGGGACCCTATTTAAGTCACATCCCAATAGATCAGGTAGGTCCCTCAGCAGCCCTGAGCTATAGAGAGTAAACATCTGGCACAGACCATTTGATGCATCTCCAAGTTTGGGGACTAACTGGGGCAGAAGGAACTATGGAAGAACAGCTGTGGCTACTTAGGTCCATCAAGGGCCTATTAACCTCTTCCCACCTCTGTATGCATTTATTGGACCTGTAATTAAATTAGAAAATCTAATAAGGAAACTCTCTTTAGCAATGCTGGACAGTAACTACTCTGTAATTTATATTCTTAGAGAGTTTCCTAGGTTTACTTAACCTTAAGAGGTTAAGTAACTTGCCCAGGTCACACAGCCAGTATATATCTGAGGCAAGAGTGAACCAAGGTCTCCCTAGAGTTGAGGTCAGCACTCTACCCACTGTCACTGGCTGTCATATCTGAATATCCTTCAGTTAAAACCCATGACAGAAAACCATGAGTATGATCATGGATCCTTTGTGGTAGATACTTTGAACCCAGGACTGTGACAGAACCCAAAGTACAACACATGTTGCTTATAAACCATATGCATCTCTCCAATTTATGAGCTAGATTAATGGGAATAAAACTGGAAGAATTCTCTAGAGATCATCTGTAACCCTTACAGATGAAGAAACTGAGAGCGACTCACCCAAGGTTACACAGGTAGTAATTCGGAGTGAGATCTGAACTTAAATCTTCTATTATAAGAGAACTAGAGAATTATTCTTTTTAAAAAAACCATGTGAGGTCTCAGGATCAAATAGTCCAACTCTCTCATTTTACAAATGAGGAAACTGAGGCCCAGGGAAGTCTTACCAAGGTGGCTCCTATCAAGCTAAAAAGGCTTCAAGGCTCCTCCCACTGGCATTTAATACACTTCATAAATGGATTTTAACCTATTTTCTAAGCTTATTATATGTTACTCCATTTCATATAATCTTTGATCCAACAGGAACTGGCTTACCTTGTTCCTCTCACCCAATATCCCCTCTCCTAATTCCTTGCCTGGACGGTGCTCCTTCCTCACCTTCCCCTTTTAGCATCCTTAGATTTTTTTCAAAGCTGAGTTCAAATACCACCTTCTACGTGAGGACTTTCCTGATCTCTGCCCCTCCCCTGTTACTTTGCTTACATTTACTATATTCTTTTCATGTTGTATATATTTATAATATTCTTTCTTACTTTGTATATACTTGGTATATATATATACATATACATACATACATACATACATACATACATATATATACACATATGAGATCACTAGGATGACCAGAAGATGATTAATTCTTTGGTCATACTAATTATGATCTATTAAGGAGGAGACTTTCACTCTGCAATGATGGAAGAAGGAGCTTCAGTTACTATGCCCAAAGGGTTATAAAACTGTCCATGCCCTTTGATCCAGCAATACTACTATGTCTATATCCAAAAGATTTTTTTAAAAAGGGAGGAAAAAACTTATTTGTAATATATATATATGTATATATATACATACATATATTTCTAGCAGCTCTTTTTGAGGTGGCAAAGAATTGGAAATTGAGGGGATGGCCATCATTGGGGAATGGCTGAGCAAGTTGTGGTATATGAATGTAATGGAATACTGTTGTGTTATAAGAAATGATGAGCAGGACATCAGAAAAACCTGGAAAGATGTACATGGACTGATGCTGAGTGAAGTGAGCAGAACCAGGAGAACGTTGTACATAGTAACAGCCACGTTGTGCAATGACGATATTGATAGACTTAGCCCTTCTCAGCAATACAAGGATCTAAGACATCTCCAAAGATCTCATGATGGAAAATGCTATCCACATCCAGAGAAAGAACTGAAAGAGTCTGAATCCAGATGGAAGCAGACTACTGGTCACTTTAATTTGTGTGTGGGTTTTTGTTTTATGGCCTGTGTCTTCTTTCACAACATGGCTAATATGGAAATAGGTTTTGCCTGGTTTCACATGTATAATTTATATCAAACTGTTTACTGTCTCAGGGCATGGAAGGGAGGAGAGGGAGAAAGAGAATTTGGAATTCAAAATTTTAAAAAATGAATGTTAAAAATGGTCTTTCCATGTAATTGGGAAAAATATTATTTAAAAAAAAGAATCTCAGTTATAACAGCAGCTCTGAGCTACTGAAACTATAGGTCCTCAAGGTATTGAAAAGGTCCAGAGCACAGACATCTGAGCACTGTTACCTCTGCAGTCATCAGAGACTTACCTTTTTATTCAAGTTCTTCAAAATGGGTTTCTCCATTGGCTCAGCAAAGGAGTTATATAGGACACTAAAGGAAAAGTAGAAAAATTGTGTTTACATATTCTAGAAAAAATCCCTGATCACAGGTTGGAAACATTTCCCCCAGCCCAGCTGCTCCGCATCCAAACCCTCTCACCCACCTGAATTCTCCTGAAAATGAGATGTGGGCATGCCCGACTCGAACATAGCAATCTTCCAGCTTCATGGTTGGGTGGCCCGTGTCGCTCCGGGACAGGTTAATAAGACCCGAGAAAAATATCTCAGCTAGAAACAGAGCGGCTCTTCCTTCAGCTCTGCTACTCATCAGACAAAAGGCACAAACTTAGAACAAAGACCCACGATGGATGGTATTGAATTATGAATGACAGTCGCAACAATATCATAGCTCACAATTTGAAAGCACTTCTGAATTTACAAAGTACTTTTCTCACAACAGCCCTGTGAGGTTGGTAAAAACACATACTATTGTTCCCACTTTATAGCTGAGGACCGATTCAGGAAAAGGACTGAGGGAGTACCAGCTCTGGAGTCAGAGGTCCTGGGTGCCAACCCCCCACTTCTGATGCTTATTACCTCCCACTGTGACTGAGGCCAAGTCACCTTGCCTCCCTGGGCCTCAGATGGACTCAGTTGTGAATATTTGATGTTGTATTTCTGTGACAAACAGCTTAATCTCTCTGGGCCTCAGTTTCCTCATCTGTAAAATGAGGGGATAGGCCTTTGAGGACCCTTCCAGTTCTGAATATTTGATGTTATATTTCTGTGATATAGCACTT